CAAACCAAAAAAAAAAAAAAAAAACAAAACAAAAATCAACTCTGCAATGATCAATTTTGAATATTAGAAATTAACTTAGGGGCTTACATTACCTCCTAAAAACTTGTAAGGTATTGTAGTATTTATTGTATAGTGACTTGGCCCTTTTGTTACAGTTTGTAAGGAATTTAGTTTTAGATTTGGCTGAAGGTAGGATCTTATATCTGAAAAATGATTTAGAGAAATAGATTCATGATATTCGGGAAGTCCTACAAGTTCCAAGAACTATAATGACATAATGTATTTTATTACAGATAAGAACTTTTCCAGAATACATATACTTGCTTAAAAAACAAAGTAATTATATAAGGGCAACTTCTAGTAAAATGTATTATACCTCAGAATACAAAAATAATTTTCCTCTATAAGCGTTTCTTTTCATTAGTTTGCTTCAAGGTATTTGATGTTGACCGTGATGGAGTTCTCTCCAGGGTTGAACTGAGAGACATGGTGGTTGCACTTTTAGAAGTCTGGAAGGACAACCGCACTGATGATATTCCTGTAAGTTCTGATTATGTATGTCTTGTTGCATATTAACTTCCAACAGGAAAATGGAGGGAATTACCTTCATAAAAAGGAGAAAATAATTTGTTACTGCTTTTAGTTACTATATTATGCTACTGAAAATATTTATAGCTGAAGATGGAATATTGGGAAGAGAGTTTGACTTAAAAAATCTTTTTTTTATTTGTTTTTTTAAGAAAGAGACTTAAAAAGTCTTAAACTGAACTACATAAAATCAGAATTAAACCATAGAAAAATTATCTTAATTTTTAAAGCAAGTATGAGAATTTGTCTATGGTAATGATAAAAATACTTGAGCAAGGCTGGGCACAGTAGCTCTCACCTGTACTCCCAGCACTTTGGGAGGCCAGGGCGGGAAGATTACTTTAGCCCAGGAGTTTGAGGTAAGCTTGGGCAACATAACGAGACTCCATCTCTACAAGAAAAACAAGGCAAAACTTGCTCAATATACAGTAAACTTTAGCCACTGAATAACAAAATTAAAAGTATATCCACTCTTTTCTAATTACTCCTTTGGGTTGTTTTTAAAGGAATTGCATATGGATCTCTCTGAAATTGTAGAAGGCATATTGAATACGCATGACACCACAAAGGTGAGTCTAGGTAGAATTAATTCATCTTTTTCTAAAAATATCATGTACTCTGTTTGGGATGTGTAGCTTGTATACATGCTTGAATCTCTTCCTCATCCTCCCTACCAAGTACTTATCTGGCCCTGTGGGTAAAACACCTCCAAGTTATCTCTAAAGAGAGCCATTCCATCTTTAAGCAACTCTGAAGGGTAATATACTATATATGAAAACATTTATTATAAGCCTGTGCTAGGCATTTTATAAGAATTATGTAGACACAGCCTTTGACAACTATAGCCTGTCATCTATGTTTCTTCCATTTGAGTAAGTTATGGTAAGGCTAACCTTATATTGAGCAAAAGAAGTCAAACAAAAAAATATATACAGTATGATTCCATTTATATGAAGTTGAAGAATACAGAAGCAAAACTGACAAATAGTGATAGAAGTTGAATAGTGATTTCAAGGGTGTGCAGATTAACTGGGAACAACCATAAGGTTATCTGAGATGATGGAAATGTTTTTTCTATTAATCTGGCGGTACATGTTTTTTTTTTTTTTTTTT